TGGACCATACCAGCGACTGGGGGATGGTGGATTTGTCCTAAAACAGGGCTGACCCCATGTTTAAGCAAGAATGTTTTTGATGCCAGTAGTGAGTATTGTGTAATAGTTGTGGTACTCCCCAAAGTACTATATCACCCAGAAGAAGAAATGTTCTCTCACTGGGGGCCCCAACCCCCTGCCTCTCCAAGGAGGCGCCGCGAACCAATTACTGCCGCCACCATAGCCACCCTATTCAGGTTAGGGCTGGCGGGAGCAGGAACAGGCATTGCTTCTCTAGCCACTCACCATCAGGGACTAAGCTCTCTAGGGGCTGCTGTAGATGAAGATATAGACAGAATAGAGAAATCCATCTCCCACCTTACCGAGCCTCTGAACTCCCTATCCAAGGTAGTTTTACAGAATCGGTGGGCCCTCGACTTAGTATTTCTCCAACAAGGGGGCCTAAGCACGGCATTAGGGGAGGCATGCTGCTTCTACGCCGACCACACCAGCGTAGTGAAAGAGTCAATGGCCAAGGTGAGAGAGGGGCTTGAAAAGAGAAAACAGGAACGGGAAGCCCAGGAGAGCTGGTTTGAGTCTTGGTTCAATAAATCTCCCTGGCTAACCACCCTTATCTCAACCTTAGCAGGACCATTAATAATCCTACTCCTATTACTTACTGTCGGTCCTTGCATTTTTAACAAACTCATATCTTTTATCAAAGACAGGGTTAATACCATCCAGTGGTACGGCAACAGTACCACTCCCCACCCTCTCATATGAATGAGGATGATTCCTCATTATGATGAAAAAAGAAAAAGGGGGAATGTGAGGACCCATCAAGACAGAGGCAGGCCTCTATGCCCTGGGGCAGGACAAAAGGCATACATGAGTGACTCAGTAAACTGCAGAGGGTGGAGGCAGTTCCAGGAATTAACTTAAATCAGTGGGTTTGATGAATACCAGGTGCACTCCAGCTTCAGGCACCTGTGATTGAGAAACATCCTGAGCCCACCCTTCCTAAAGAATTTATAACCCATGTAACTTTGTAACTGACAATGATTGCTTGCTCACTGTAGCCCTATATAAGCTTGTGGTAAATTTAGATCGGGGTTTGAGTCAGAATTCCACTGCGTTGGAAATGACCGAACCCCAGCTAGCTGGAATAAAAGTCCCTTTTGCTGTTACATTATCAGCTCTGGAGTGATTGTCTTTCCGCCGCATAGGGGATCTGATTCTCGGACATAACAATGTAACACAATTCTCCAGACCCCCATCTCCAATCCTTCCTCTCACTCCTTCCTTCAATCTTTCTGGCGCTCTCTGCCATCCCTGTTCCAATAAAAACAAATTCCCTTGCTCTAGTCATAAAATGCCAACCTTTATCTTCATTGTAATCTGGCTCTCCTCAAGGACATTGCTTCCTCTGTTGATATTTTAAGAAGGCTCACCTTTCCATATTTTGTATAGTAAAAGGTCAGAAGAGAAGATGGTATAGTTCACTTTCTGTTCTTGTAGCTATAATGTATCTTTTTAAACTACTCTTCTCTCTTTACTAATGCGTTGGTCATTCACCAACCAACCCCAATGCTGTCCTCAACCAGGATAACTCCAATGGCCAATGGATGACCTAGGCAACCACCTATCTTCAGAGTTCCTTGACCAAGGCAGCTGCATTAAACTTTGCCTTCATTTCAGGCACCCATAGACATGGGACTAGACAGCACATAACCCTTCGTTATTAATATTGCACACTTTGGACACAGCATCTATTTTTAAAACTCCCCTTACTCTTTATTTTCAT